GTTTATCTACAAGAATCTCCCACAATTATAACTCACAAAATCTCAGGAAGGTTAAGTTTATTGCCTAGAAATATTGATAAACAATTAGGCAATGGACTATTATGCCAAGATAGACAGACCCAAATGCGGTTGTTACACAGAATGTGACAACTGTATTCATGTACTTTCATCCAATCACACCAATTAACCAATGAGAGTGCCAAATATTTTATAATTTTATATGAAAGGTTTAACAACACATGTAAATGAGATCATGGCTGGAAACTGTCTAAACTGTTTGTCTCCAGAGAGGTAACGATTTCCTCACAAAGTTCACTGCCTAATCTCTAAATACATTATTAGTAAGCAATAATCTGAAGATCCTTGAAACTTCATTCAAATAATTAGGAGGCAATCAACAGATCAGTTTGGAACTGTTTTTATTTCTAAGCAAATGTATGTATGCACAACTTGAGGATACACTAGAATTCACAGGTAACAAAAAGTTTTGAAGTAAATTGAGGTATAAGGAAATATTTGTGAGTGAGGAACAGTCAAAGCTTTGATAAAATTAGCACTTACAATAATAAACAAAGGCGGGTCTACAGCCCAGGTTAACACAGTACTAGTGACTCACTCCAATACGACGATTTACTCTCTCCTTTAGCTGTCTCACTTCCTCTTATGGGTAGTTACAAAAGTTGGGCAAAATGCAAGCCAAAAGAAAAAGTAGAATGTAGGGTAAAAGATCTTTGAGATATAACAACACATCTTCTTTACAAGGTGAAAAGTCAGATCTCTCTTGAAAATTTTAGACTGATGTTGGTGGTTCATGGACAAAAAAAACCAATTGAGTCAAAGGTATTCTTTTCAGTGCTGTACTTTGTGCTGTGGTAAGCCAACAAGCACTCACTCATATAATATATCAAAGGAAACTTATGTAACACTGAAGATTGAAAAAAAGGTTACACTGAGACAGTGTGTTCTACATGGCTTCTGTAAATACAAAGTTCAGCGTCAACGGTCAGGAAGAACTATCAGTGAAAAGTTATCCACAGAAGTTTTCTCAATTTTATTAAAGAAAATATCTTGGTACAGTAGGTTGGAATTCTGCCATTTCTATTTGGGGTAGAAGTGTGTGTTTATTTCCCAAACAGCAGTTGGTAATCAAGACTATAATTTGACTGAGAGCAACCTTATAAGAAGCATATCAAATCAATGGGTTTCTTACAATGTTAATACAGTCGCAAAATATGACAATGAATACATTCTACCTGGTTTCCTCTAATGCACAACTGGGCAAGTAAGAGGGGGTATTGAATGAAAACTCAGCAAAACAGTGGCATTCAAAGTAAACTTGTTCACATCATAAAAACAAAATTTCAATGAATTATTTCCAAATCTTACCATATTGATTTAAAACAACATTCTCCCCTAGATGAGGATTCTCCCACCCTAATAGCCACTTCATTCTACAACTGCACTTCTAAAGACAGGTTTATGACTGCAATATCCCCTCCTAAAAATTCATTTGATCCTTTGGTAACTACATCTAGATTGTTGAAGCTAATGCAGGTAACAAATTTATTTACCATGCAATTTACTTAAGTTACATACAAAAATCTGCCATAATTCTGACTAAAAATCTCAAAGTTAGGTTTACTGCATTTACTTTGGATTTAAACAATTTCGTTAACTAATATTTTGACTTCAGTTAATGATCTAACTGAGTTTAACTGTTCTCATTTTTAAAAAATAGATTATTAAAGTTCACAGCTTAATTAACAAATCACTTTGACATTTAAGACCACTGACTTTCTCAGTTTGCAATTTTAAGCTGTCACCAAATTTTAATCTTAATGAAAGTCATCTAAACAGCTTCCCAACCTGCATGTTCAATGACACATGCAAATAAGATCATAGCTGGAAATTGATACAGCCGTTTGTCTCAAGAGAGGTAACAACTTACTCCCAAAGTTCACTGCCTCACCTCCTAATATATTCTTTGTAAGCCATAATCTAAAGGTTCTTTGAAACTTCATTCAAATAATTAAGAGGAAATCACACAGGTCAGTTTGGAACTGTTTTTATTTCTAAGCAAATGCCATTTGAGGCATGTAAATGTTTGTTTATAAACAATTTTGGGATACACGAGAATTGCATTTGTGAGTGAAAGACAGTCAATGCATTATCAAAATTGGCACTTATAATAAAAAACTAGACAGAGGTGGAGCCACAGCCTAGATCAATACAGCATTAATGACTCCCTCCAATTGGACAATTTATTCTCTCCTTTAGCTATCTCACTTCCTCTTATGGATAGTAACTTGAGTTAGGCAAAATGCAGGTCAAAAAATTGGTAGAATTTAGGGTGAAGGAGCTTTAAAAAATAAAACACATCTCCTTCTTTACAAGGTTTTAGTTGAATAAGCTAAAACAATGAGATATCATAATTGATGATAAAGTTATTTGTTTTTTCACAACCAGTTTTTTAAAGGAATTGCACTGGAGAGAGGGAGAAAAGAAGACAATTTAGAACCTGCTTTACTGCCATCTGGAGATATATTTCCTGATATGATAGGTTTAGGTCCCTTTATTTCATTTCAACGATTTTACATGTAGTTTAGGAGTCCACCAACCTGTTTTAGCATAAGACTGTTAGAGGGAAGATTTGTTTGAGCAAAGAGTTCCTTGGCAATTTATACATTTTAATACATTTTTTCTTCCTTTTCCACACATCTTGTTAACTAACTGAGTATTCTTCCTTTTAAGTACCATTTGCAGAGAACTATAGACATGCTTAAATTATGATAATTTAGTTTTATAAATAATGATTGTACATGGAAAATGTAGATATAAACATGCAGCTGGCACTGGTAAGCACTAACAACTAGTTTGAGAACTGGAACTCACCCTGCCAAAATCCTATGCCCTAAGCAATTGAATAAAAGAGCTTTAAGTAAATATTTTACCACATTACTGTACAATTACATAACAAAAAATAGTTTCTCTTCAGTGAACTACTTAACACAGAGTTAACCATTAATTCCATATCAAATTACAATAGCCACAGCATCAAATGAACAAGAAAGAGTACATCTCATCAGGAAAAATAGTGCAAGTGTTTAAACTTTGAAAGCAAGTAAGTACTTATGTTACACTACTTCATAAAATTAAGTCAAGCATTATTACCTCAGAAGATTAATATACCATGATCATTTATGCTAACTACAAGTGTAGCTTTTAGTTTAACTAATGATGAAGTCTTGAGCACTCTCCAAACCAGAAGATTACTGATCCATTACAAGGTTAAACTCTCCACTTCTTGCACGAGTGTGATAGTCTGCTGCAGCATAGAGTGAGAATGGAGTTATTATATCTCTGAATACAATAATAGGGCACACATGTATGACATAGTCGAACAAACCACTATTATTTACAAAAAATTGAAAAATATTTAAGTCAAATTAAGGACAAGAACATCATGCAAAGACAGTAACTTAGTTATCAGGCAAAGTTAATGGGTTAGAAAATTTTTAAACTCAGAAACAAGATTATTAATCTAGTTACTAATTAGATTTAGAGGTTAAGAGGGAATAAATAAACAAATTGACACAACATTTAAGTGAAATCTTTTAAATGTACAAGTCAACACAATTACGCATAATGTAACCAAGAAATTTTGAATAACCTCAAAACAAGCCAGACCAATTTAGGTCCTCGCAAATACTCTACGTTCACACTCTCTCTACATTTACACTGTATACACAATTCAGTCTGGCCCCCTTGTGAAAGAGACACTTAAATAGCCTCATGCAAGGGGTAAACAAACTGTGTTTATCAAAAAAAAACATACTTTCTTCAGGAAAATTTGGATCCAAAGTGATTCAGATCAAGACACATTAAAGAACATTAAGAGACCAATGAATCCTCTCCTAGAGATGACTTATCAGTTCCTTTCCTAAATCACGTCTCAGTAATATTGAATCAGTTAGCGTAATCTGAATTTAATGCTGAGCATCTTGATCCACATAGATAAAAGAAGGTTACAAAAAAAGAAATGAAAAAGAAATAAATTTCACTAGACTTTCTGATAAATAGAGAGTAGCACCTTGCTACAATACTACCACAAGTTCATACAGTTAAAATCATGGTATTGACCAACTGTTAATTTTTTAACAATCTTACAGCTTCAAACTGTCAAATGTTACCGACCCATAAACCAGCTGCTAGCAAAGGGTTTAAATACTATTATTAGTGTCACCTAACTTCCAACCAAAACAGTGTAAAACATTGTAATTTGTGACCAAATCTTCTTTTACTAGTCACTATGATTTTGTTGATTGTTTTTATGTACATGTATTAGAGCAAATGTAAAAGACTGGAAACTTCTAGATTGTTTAAAAATTCTTCTATCATTTATTTAGGATTCTAGTCATATGAAACTACACTGGGTTCATAGCAAGCCTTTACAGATAAATACTCAAAAAGAAGAAGCAGAGGTATTAAAATAACAGTACAAAAATGGTTTGAAAAGTTACACTCTGGCAAACAGTTACTATGAAGCTACTAAAAATGGACTCATTTGAATGCAAGGATCACAGATTATAAAACCAATTTGGTCAAACTCATGTTGCAGCTAAACAACTACCAGAAATGGAATGATGTGAAACGATTAAGTGTTGCTGATGTGAAACAAACCTGGCTGTAAACAATGTTTACATGAAATAATTTAAAACTACCACAAAATTTCTTTCAGTCATTTCACCTGTAGTTGTCTAGACATTTTAAGAGTTCCTGTCTGTATTACAAGAAGCATATTACTTAGCCATGAAAAGGTTATATGCTTCTAATATTGCATTGGGCTGTGTGTCAATGTGCGCTTTCCACATGTTGTAAACTGATTTAACTGGAACAACATACCAATTTTACTGTCAATTCATCAACTGTAATTTCAGCTGAATTTGTCACTTATGATACTTTCCCTCCGAAATCACATCTTGGTGAAAAAATCTAATTAGAAGAGCAGTCAATTGGGGGTTATTTGATGTCCTGTATGAATATTATCAGCTTTCTTAATAACTTTACCACAACAATACTGTATATAACAAAAAAATTCCTAGAAGTACAATGTACTAGGGTTTTCAGAAACAGATCAGTCTCCAGTCACCCCTATCCCCATGAAAAATTACTCTCCCAGCTACGATAAAGATTGGAACTTCACTTCACTGATAATATGACTGAATGGTCCACTTACATGTATACAAAACGCCGTACGTACAGTTGTGAGCTCAAACTTCCCCCATGTGTTTACTGCGTAATGATTGCAAAATAAGACGAGCAGTATACAACTTCACCGTTATCATTTACAGTGCTTTCAACGTCAAGGAGAAAGTAAATGATTTGTCGCAAATTCATGTTCAAAAGAATCATTCGACCTTAATTTACTTTCTATTTTGTGTGCTCGGATTTGCTCTTGAAAAAATTTATTCAAAATAGACATATTTATGATACAGTTAAGAGTTTACACAGCTATAAAAATCGCTAGTTTGGCCTGTTAACTTGATTTTAAATCCACAATTCGCGAATATTACACGATAAATTAAAGAATTTTTCTACAATCTTTACCAAAATATAATTCTAAGATTCAGAAACAAACTACTGCTCCGATCCAAAAAGCGGATGTCAAGAAGTGCAAAATTATCAGTTGTTCAGTTTGCAGCTTAAAACTACCGTGTTACCGCCACTGGCGGCTGCTCTTGGCCTTCCACCAACTTACTAGGCACAGACGTTTTCCTGTGTGGGATGTTATCGGGTGTGGGGATGGCTTTTCCGACTCCAACGGGCAATTTTCCCCTGTTACCAATGGCCGCTGCGGCGGGACCTACTTTTTTCTCGCTCTTCGCCATGGCGTAATCGCCAGAATCAAAATATTTCACCTGAACGAGAAAGATACAGCGTTTCAGAAAACGATAGACATTCGACAAGTCTATGAAGAGTGAAAGGAGTTTTAAAAGTGCTGTAAAAATCATACCCCTCTCTGCATTCTCTTTTTCAAAATATCAGTGGCAACTGGTTTCTTCCCCGGAAACTTGAGCGCCAGTTTCTGCTCTTCGGTGAGCTAAAAGACAGAAAAT